AAGCCAATTAATAATTTTTTAAAAAATCTATAAGGAAGTATAGGTCAAATCAAAGATAGGTAATGAGAAATGACAAAAAAGAAGTATGCTTTGTGTTGTGTTTTTTTTTTTTTCTGTTGTGTCCACATCTCTGGGTATGTACATACTCACTGTATAGCTGTTACAGTAGCCGATTAGAAAGAATACAAAAGACATTCTGTTGTAAACTTTAAAGCATATTTAATAACGTCTAAAAATAAAATGTGTATTTTAAACTTTGTTCATTATATGAATGCACAAAAATGTAACATTGTAGTTGCAGCAACAAAATACAAAGAACTGAGGAGACCTGCCCACTGTAGCAAGATACCAGTTACAATCTAGGAGACTTCACAGTAGCATCCAAACAAAATTTCCCATGGTGGATCCTGACTTGTTTTTTTTACTGTGAATTGTCAAACATTCTATCTATGAAGATCATTCATACTTAGCAAAAATCCTTGGAGACAAAGGTAACAAAGAATCTGGTTTTCAAATAAATGCCATGATCAACTGCTGGCTTCTGTTGCTTACCTGCCACATTTATAGCACAACAATGAATCTAAGGGGTAAGTGGATGGCTTAAACTTTCTCCATGCTAACAACCTCCTGTACAATGGGGGAAAAGAAGCAGCCAGGAGCCATGTGCGCTAAAAGATATAACCAGTTCCTAGTTTGTGAGAAGTGAAGGGATTGGGTAGATTTGCATAGCAGCTATACTGCTTATGCAAGATAAAATATTTTTGCAGCATCTGTGCAATTCCTCCCACTCCTTAGTCTAAATAATACAATGCTGCATTCAAATAGTAATTATTAAATAGCAGAATAAACTTCTACAAATTTATATTATTTGAGGAGGAAGAACAAAGGAGTGTTCATAGAACAGAAACTTGAGTGAATTTCAGTGATTGTGCACAGTAAGATGTGAAGCTGAGTAATTCTGTTCTACAAACAGTAAGATTTGGCTGCTACTGACAAGTTACTGTACTGGAAAATAAACTATAGTCTATTAAATATATGTATGTGTATGTGTATATATTATTGTAATTGTGAAAATGAAAAGCCAGAAATATATTTGCCTTAATCTAAAAGTTAGATCTTGATGCTGCTGAATTCATTAAGTCCAGCCATGGTGCCCTATGCCTTCACATCTTGTTATTTAGCAGGAAGAGCAATGAATATAAATCAGGAGTGCTCTCCTTCAATGTCTTTATTGCCTTTGTTCTTTCTTTAATTTAAATGTATTGAATCTTCCATAATGTTTAAAGATAAGAAGTGAAAATAATATAAAAGACTTCTCTAAAAGTGATAAAACACTAATGGAAGCCATGAGAATTACTTCTGTGTTGCTCTGCATATATAGCATATAAGCAGCCTTTTAAATGGGTATTATATGCTACAAGGTATTTAGAATCAACCAGTTCAACATGAAGTTTTATGCATAATATGAAACAATATATTTTTTTAAAATATTGTTATTATTACATATCACAAAATATTACGAGCTCATCACCAGAGAAAGGATGTAATGATTTAAAAAAAGAAAATGAAATAAATCTGTGGCTTGTTAGATGCAGTATGTTCAAGGTTTGAAATTGGATTGTGCTGGTAATGCCTGAAGAAGCAAAACATATGTTTGACCTGTGTGAAGAAAGTTAATAACATCAAATACAGAAAATAGTCCAGGTCATAGTATAAACAAGTTGCAGTAGTATCTCATTTGGCAGTGTAGGGGTAGTGTTTAAAGAAAGAATTATTAGCAGCAATATGTGGTCTGTTTTTTGTTTCCTTTCTTTCTTTTCAGCAGTTAGTGCAGTATGTTTCTGTTGCAGTGGCTGGGATCTGCAAAGTGGGTATGCTCTTACTCCCTCTAGATACGTGTTTTTTAAAACTCAGGCAGTTTAACTTGTAAAGACACCTAAACTGTGGAAAATCATTAGAGGGAACCACAAGGTGTGTAAAGACACATAAACTGTGGAAAATCATTAGAGGGAACCACAAGGTGTGACTTGTCTTCAGTCTTCATTTCACATTTTTATTTCCTCTATATATTTAGCTGAAGTCTAGAAGTCTTCTCTATTATTCTCTATTATTCTGCCATATTACTGAGAGACTCACAGGATGAGGGTTTGTGATCTCTCTTCTCCTTACAGAAACACCAGGCAAACTGATGATAGCTGCCCCCTCAGGAAGCATGCTTGCACAAAGGTTTGCTCTTACCTACTGGGCCTTTATAAGCCTTCTATCTCGTGTTAATGTTTAGTGGCAGGGATCACTACAAATAGACTTGTCTACCTTTTATATTTCTTAAAAATCTATGTTGTATTAATGCATTAATCACTGGGTTATGCTGCTTTTCAGTGGTGGAAACTCTGAGCTGTCACCAGGAGGACGCGTGTGTATGAACTATAAACAATGGCAAGAATTAATGGTAGATCTAACCTGGAATCATGTCTGTGCAGGTAAGAAAGGAACAGAGTGGAGAGAGGGAAGGAACAAATTTACACCATCTTTTGAAGAGCAGGACTGTTGAGAGAGCAGACTGGGCTCAGGAGCACAGAGCATAGAAACTGGTGAGTAAACCTCTTGCTTGGGGTACCAGGTACCTATGTGTGTGCTAGTCTCTCAGCCTAACCTCTGCCTCGGGTCAAGGTCTATTAATGATTGTCAAGGCTTGTTAGCATGGTAGTAAAAACCTTTAGTGGTGGTGAGGTTGCTGTTAATAGTGACTGGAAAACCACATAAAAGCATACAAGTAGTACATTACTTTTCAACTTAGCCTGCACTGCAGAATGTCCCATGCTACAGAGGTTGATGCATAAAGGTGCAGAGTAAGATTGGTCTTGCTCTTTCAGACACCAGACTGTCCTAAACACTTCCTCACAAAACATGGAGTAGTTTGGGCCTGAGGGTGAGAATTATAGAATATGGTGACTTGGAAGGGACCCATCAGGATCATCAAGTCCAACTCCTGGCCCTGTGTAGGGCACCCCTACAATTGTGTCTGCAGGAAATTAGCAAAGAGGAAAAAAAAACGACCACAACAAAACCTGAGCAATGAGTGTAGTATTTATCAGTGGTGCAGGTCCACGGAGATTGTTCAATAGGCTGTGGGTCAGCAAGTCAACCTTTACTGCTGGAAATTGCCTTTAAATCAGAGTAAGGAAAATGTCACTCATGGCTGAAAGGTGCTGGTTTAACTGCAAAAAGTACAGGATAACTTCTCCCCTCCCCTGAACTTGATGCATGCTTCTAATCTGCCCCAGTAGTAATGGCTGCATTGAGATTTCTGGGAAAAAAGGGCACCAAGGTTGTCTCTGATCTCTTGTCAGTGGCTGAGCGGTCCTCAAAGGCTGGGCTGGCTGCACGGAGGAGCCCAGCTGCATGTTGCATTGCTCTGTTTGCCTTTTCCATGCTGTTCTATTTCCCTGCAGTGCTTCAGCTTCTCATTGTCACGTGCATTATCTGGGGTTTCTTGCTGATGGGGAATCATTTGTTTGTACAATAGGAAACATCTTTTTCTTAACCTTACCATGGAAGATGTGCACAGAAGGGTACTACATTACTTTTGTTACCAATGCAGGGTGGGGAAATCAGAAAACTGGTGGCTCATTTTTGCCTAAGGAAAGTTATAATTTTGATTTCTGCTAATTCCAGGAAGCATGGCACATATTCAATCCAACAGCCGGGTTGAGATGGGTCTGAAAAAAACAGAACTGAGAGCTAACTCTAGTTCTAACAAAGACCAATGTGTCTTAGCTGTTAGCATGCAGCTGAAAAAAAACCCAAAATGCAAACAGCTAAGCATAAAGACATCTGAAGTCTTAATAACTCCCAGAAAAATAAGCAATGTGCAAAAGATTTTTCCTCAGCAAGGCAAACTCATCATATCTCCAGATGATGATATCCCAAAGTACATTAATGAAATGGTGACATTCAGGAAAAGGAACAGCTGACAGGTTTGTACAAGTGTGGAAATGAGTGATACTTTCTGGCAGACAAACTTGAACCCGGGATGATAAAAAATAAAATCATAGTGAAGTGACAGAGAGAACCCACTCACAGGTTGTTTACTGAAATGAAGATACAGCTGAAAGTAATTATTTGTTTCCCAGAGGTATAAGTGATAGTGCCTCCAACAAGAAATAATACTCGGTTATTTCAGTTGGAATGTAAAATGAGATAGATTCCCTCTTTCTGAAGTTAGATGCTGGGTATTTTCACCTCCTTTTAGAACAGTATGTATTTATGAATGTAATATATATTACTTATACAGTCAACCATCTATATGCCACTGGCAATTAGTGAGACAATGTCCAATATTGTTTTCCCTCAACAGCCAGATTTCACTGTGCAGATTCTGATTAAAAGCCTGACTTGGCAGTGCCCAAGTTTAAAAAATACTCCTTAAAAAAATTTTTTTTCAGATCATCCTCTCCTGCCTACAAAGTCATATTGAGATACTTGGAGGCAGAGCTGCCCGATCTTGACATTTTACCTGTGTGCAAACTGTAGTAAAATTACAGTGCTACCCATGCTGTACCCTCTTTTCATGCTGAAGAATACTCAATTCTATACCCTCTCTTCCAGACCATGAAATGCAGGAAGACAACCCAGGACATTTCACAGAGGTTGCCTCAGTGCAATCTTTTCCTAACATCCATTTGAAGATCAGCCCTTCATAAGCAGCTTCCTTTCCCTTGCCCATGGAAAAGGAACCATTGCTATTTGTGCAACTTCATTGGAAGTTTTCTTCTTTTTAAAGACAAGGCTGCTTCTTTCTTACCTGTGTCAGTTCAAGTACTTATAGTTTCTTTTCTTCCTTCTTCAATAAAGGGGTGTAATTCACAAAATCTTCAGAAATATAGTATTATGTACAGTTTATAGTACAAATGTAAAAAAAAAAAAAGTCAGATGAATGAGCATGAAGAAGATTTTTCCTGTGTCCTTTGTAGGAGAAGTGGAAAGATTGGGAAAGGTATCTATGCACAGTACGTGTCTGCCTTCACTACCTGACAATACATGGTCATTGCAAAGGTGAGTCCAAGAATCTAAGAGAAAAACAAACAAACAATTCTTTTTCAGTACTTAAAAAAGCCCCTATTTATTGAAACAAACAAAAAAAACCCAAAACGAACAAAAAACACAGACAAAACAAAAAAGAGAAAAGCATGCTTACACTAGTTTTGTTCACACATGGAAGACATATCATTTTCTTGCTGGTTCATGTCCTTGTTCTGTCCCTACTTTCTGTCTGCTTTTTGTCCTTATCTGTATTGCTATTTTACAGAATGAAAAATGACAGCACAAGCAAGCTGATTTCTCCACAAAGAGCAGCCAGCAGATACTGGGAAGAGGTATATTGAAAATAAATGTTTGATTGTCTTTTTCTTTAAAGTATTCTACAGTAGCAAACCACAACTGTGGGGCTGTGTGGTTACCTCTGTAGCTATTTCTTTGAAAGACAACTGGGTTCATCCCTGACCCAAAGGATGCTGTGGTTTACTGTGTATTACTTTTCCGAACGTATGTGTGCACAGGTTTCTATGGGGGAATCACTGAAGAGTGTCCACGTATCATAACCATCAATGCTTCACCAATGTGTGCCTTTCTTACTCAGCCGATTCAAGAGAAGCAGCAGGCAGGTGGTGGTTTTCTCTCAGCCAAGCTACTGACCTGCTGTGCCACATCCTGTAGATTATTTCATCAAAAAAGGAGATGGGGAAGAGAGTCTTTTTTCCTTCAGTTGAAGTACTTACATGAGTGTACCAAGTGGTTGTTGCTATTCCTTTGCAACACCACTCTAAAAATTATAATTGAAATTAAGGTTTACCAGGTAGAAATTTTTTGTATGAGTTCTATTTTAAGCACTGAATTCGACCAGTTCATATTTACTCTTTAAAAAAATAACAGTTCCTGTTAATTAGTATTATAATAAAAACTCCCATGAGGAGTCAGGCATTAGTATAAGTTGCAGCCAATATGTGAACATATGATAGAGTAAGATACATGACCCTGCTGCCTAACCTGACATTAGTAGGAATATGACTGGAATTCAGATTCCAGGCTCTCGCTGCTGCCAGTGGTATCCATGCAAAATTATTTTTAAAAACCCCCACCAAAAAAGGGTTAATCTGGAGTTCGTTACATGGTCTTAATAAGCTTAGCGATGCCATCTTTGTGTTGAGTGTGAGAGAGAAGTGAAGCTGGAAACTAAAGCTCTCTCTTCACTGCATTTGGGAATGCAGTTTGAGCCATAAATGGAGGGCTGACATACAGCCAAAACAGCCTGAGCTTTAGCACAACTTTCACCTGTTTATCCTCAAGCTAAGGTTTGTTCCATCAGGGCTACCACTATTGCCACAACCACAGTAAGATGGATCAAAGACACAGGTACATAAGAGACAAGAGCCTGCATTGACAGCTGATTCTTCTCTGACCAAAGTTATGTGGAGCATAAATTAAGGTCAAAATCTAATAGGAAAGTCTATGCCAGTCTTACCTACCTCATTTCCCCGCAATTAACAGAAAAGAACCATGGATTTATTGGCAAGGTTGAGTAATGGTAGCAACTGCCCAACTTCTAACTTACCTTAGGACTAAGGATGGGGGTTGAAGAGTTAAGCTACTTTTAGGCTATCTTGAAGTTGGATAATTAGCTTAACTGGCTGGTCCTCTATGGAGAATTACTGGACAAATATAGGTATCCTAAAAGACAATTCACCCTACCCTGATTAGGCTTCTCACTTTGGATGGCAGGGACTGCCTCTCCATGGAGTCTATTCTAAGGCTCAGTCTATTCTAAGGCTTCACTGGGTAAAGTGCCTGCTCTTTGCAATGCATCATAAACAGAAAATGTGTGTATTCCTAATATTTACTTAAAATACTGTGTTCCTTGTGCATAGTTTTTGAACAAAATTATAAAAGTCAAATCTTGCTGAGGTTTACTCTAATATCCTGCAAAATTTGGAATTATTAAAATAGGCCTGGGCAGAGTACATCTGGATCTATTGTCACGTATTTAATTATGATTAATAAGGATTTGAAAAAAAAAATATAATTAACTGTACCTGCACAATAGCTGTGCACAATCCAAAGATTCCCACTGCTAGTAAGTTTTCCTGGAGCCATATTTTCACCGTTTCATAGCAAGGCTAGAAAAAAACCCAGAATATTGGATTAGCCATAAACACACATCTCTACTCATACATAGTCAGAAAAGAGCCAGATCAGATTAAACTGCTAGATAGCCTGGATTATCATTTCTGCATTGGAGCAACTACCATGTATGTCTGGGTTAAAGCCTGAACATGGAGTACTAATCATAATGACATCAAAAAGCATACCTCCAAAATGCAAAGCAAAAAATTTGCCCTCTGTCTTGTCTCTGCCAAGAATCATTCAGCCTTCAGTTAGTGGCTTTCACATATGTGTAAAGGAAAAACTATTAATGCCCACCAGAAGGCATGATGTTAACCTGCACTGCTCTTCTCAGTACCCCCCAAAAAACAGAAAGACTTTTAAGTTTTCAAATTCAAATTTTTATTTGGAGCTACTTGAAAAGGAAAAGGGAGCCATGCTTGCTTGGAACTGAGCCTGTGCCACTTCCAATCTGTGCATATGGAATCTCATTAGAGACAGCTTTACTTATTGTCTTCAGAAACCATTAGAACCAGTAAAACTTCATTATAATTCCACTTCATCGCCTGGTCTTAACTGCACATCCCTCCTGGGTAACTGAAACTTTAATTAGAATGAATACTCGCTGAGCTAATTTCTGACAAGAAGTTAGGCTCTGACTTGTCTGCTCCTTCTTGAGGACATGATAGGGAAATTATCCAATGGAGTTTTGAATTTCATTACAGGCAAGTGCAGAAACCCATTGCAAAAAAAGTGCTGCTTGCAATTCAGTGAACATTTCCCATCCCCTGCTGTCCAGTGGAAGCTGCTGAATTAGCACTCCCAGCTCCCATGGCCCTGGTGCCTCATGGGTACCTGAGCTACAGCTGCTGCTCCAGTGCTTGTTCTATGTGTGTGCATGAGCCATTTGCCTTTTTCTCTACCTGACTAGAGTAAGTGGAACATTAAGAAGGACAACTCTGTTATTTCTTAGCTAGATCGAACTAGACTGTACGTCAGATCAGTGTTGCAAGGCACTTGTCTGCAATGTGAAACAGCAGCTCAGAGCTTACTGGAAGAGAATACTTCAGCTTGTAAAAATAATGAAATAGGCATTTTCACTGCAGGTTGAAAGTAACAGCTCAACATGAGCCTTCTGCAACCTTCTGATTAAAGATGAGTAAGGTACAACATACCTTATCATTTGTATAGCCCTGCAGATGACTAGCTGCCTGCCCTTTATCTGGGTTGCAAGGTAGCTGCTGAGATGCTGCTTGAGAGCTACTCACTGCTTTCCACCAGGTCCCTGGAGAATGGAGTCCACAGTTCTCACTGAATTCTAAGCA